ATAAATAAATAAATAAAATTTTAAGTCTCTGAAAATCAACTACTATTTTTCCCTGACACAGTTGTGTTACTTACTGATTTTCACATCACAGTTAATGGCAAGTGATAATATTTTTTAAAGATTTATTTTTTATTTATGCATACAAGAACTAGGATGTAGGCTGGAAGTGCAGGGGTGAGAGGACTCACCAGAGACAGAGTGGGGAACAGAACAGGCAGATCAACTGAAATATGCAGCTGAGGGGAGCAGCGGGGAGGACAGGAGAAGTCTGCTGTGCCATGTGGGTTAGCGCCCAGGCTGAGAATTAAACTCATGTTGCAATGCCGACGATAGCTTGATAGTGCTTAGACTTAACCCCTTGTGACACCAAGGAGGCTCAAATAATATTTTTGTAATTTAATGTTTTTGTTTGTTTTTCACACCACACATTTAATTTGTGAGAGAGATTTACCATCTCTATCCTATAAACATACAATTTAACCATTTTACACAACAAGCACTAATAGTTCTCCAGTTTAGACCACCATCATATATGACCTGTAATAATGCAATTATTTCATAATTGATTTATTTCTCCTAGCCCAGGCCCTCCCTGCCACAATCTATACTCAGAATGGTGGCCAAAATGATTCCTTTGAAATGTTATACATATAATTTCACTCTTCTACTTAATACTCTGGGAAAACTCAACATTTTACTCAGAATAAGTCATTAAAGTCCAATTTAATTGACTCACTTCTGTGACCATCTTGTTTATAATTCACACTTTCATTCATTGCACATCAGTCACACTGAATGCTTTTTCTTAAATCTGGAAAGAAAGTTTTCATCTTGCTCTAATTTATTTGTATAAATACTAATCTCCAATATATTTTCTAGGTGCTCTCCCTCCCTCAAGTTCTTTAAATTTTTCTCATCTTTTCCATGAGACCTCCCCTGAACTCCTCCCCCCAGTATAATACAAATCACCCTCTTCCCATTTTTGTCTGCATCCCTGTTCTCTTTAACTCTATTCTACTTTTTCTTATCACCCACCTTATAACATACAATGTGTTTTATATTTTACATATGTTTTTTTTTCCTGCATATCCTGCTGGAATATAACTTTCTTGAAAGCAATGAAATGTGTTTGTTATTGTTACTAAGTAGTGATAGTCATTTTACACCAGTCAGCATACAGGTTTTCCTAAAGTAGAATGAGCCTATTCAAAATGATTTGGTGGTTATTTTTTCAGTCTGGGAACACAAATATTTTCCATATAAATTAATGGTAATAGTATTCCCATAACCAAAAATGATCAACTGAATCATACCAAATAGAAATATACTACTTTAGCATGTTGCCAAGAAAAACTATTCTCTAGATAGGGAATTCTCACTAAGGAGATTTCCTTCTTTCATTTGAAAGTGAGTTTGTCTCCTGGTGTTCATTCAATTTACTCAATTAGTAGGACTAAATATCACATAAGAGTCCATACTGGACTGAACTTTCTTATAACCCATGTGCCTCTAAATTTCCATTCCAGCACTTAATGCAGCTCAGTGTCATAAAGCATACTGAGAGAGTTTGATATGTAGTATTATTAATTATGTCATTATTTCTTAATATGTTTACCCTTTTGGTAATGGTATATGCTTTTAATATGCAGTTATATTTTGTGATAATTTCTCACTTAGATGTTACAGTGAAATTCATATGCATGATCCACATACAGAAAGGTCACATTTTAATTTTATGTATTTTTATTTCTGTAAGTATGTTTACTGTTCACAAAATGTCTAAAAATTTAATGATGAACTCAGGCTGCCTATACAAAAAGATATTTAATAAGTAGCAGCTGAAAACTCTTTCAAGACTATCATAATGGATATACTCAAAAAAAGATTTTTCTCGAAAACTTGGAATTTTGAAGCACAGTTCACAATATTGCATAATGGTAATTGGCAGGTAAGTATCCACAGAATAGGAAAAAACAAACTCTGACAATGTACTGACAATGAAAATGTTTTTGAATACTAAAATATATGCTTACTATTTATAAGAAAGTAACCTTAATCTTTATTAAAATGAAAGACTAAGGAATAATGTCATTTTACTTGTGAAAACTAAGTAAGGGATTATATATGAAATCAATGTGGTTCATCTGCAAGGACCCTAAGGATATGCGAATCAATGTTATAAGAAGTTTTAACTTCTTTTCAAAGGACACAGTAACTGAATGTCAGTCACAAGCACAGTAAATCCCACCACTAATGGTGATCCATAGTACGCTAGTAAAAAAGACAGTCTGCATGTTTATTCATTTTATTTTTCTATCTTTAATTCCACTCCTTCAGTTTTCCCCAGAACTCGATCCTCTGAAACACCATCATGTTTGAGAACTAGGACTAAAGAATTTTGAAGAGGAAAGCATAAAATTGAATTGATAGAGTGACCTCCTATTCTTTATATACTTTGGTTGGAAAAATGACTAGGATAAGAAATAATAATCTCAGGAAGGTTATTGTAGGGATTTGCATAGAGTAGATGGCCCAGTGTTGCTGAACTGTAATAAGTGGAGTCAAGACATAGAACTAATATCCAGTTATTAGAATTGTTCAATTCTCACTGTACTGAAAAGCCATGGTTCTCTTACTCTATTCATAGAGATGTAGGGCAGAATGATTTGAAGAGTGGGTAAATATTGATACTGGTAAGAAGAAGAATGGCTTCTTATGTTCATAGGACCCAAATTGGGTAATTTCAACTCAAGGAGAGTAGCTTTGGTATCTATATCTCACAAATGATGCCTAATCATCTTTGCATCTACTCACATACAACTAGATGAAAAACCTTTTTTATTTTCTTGTTTATATAAATATGAAATTTAAAGAAAGAGAGCTTCTAAAGAAGAATTTTAAAAATTGCACTCAACAATTCTGAATGAAATACAATTGTTTAGGGTGTTCAGTCAGCGCTGAACTGCTTATTACCCTTCTTGTTTCTTGATACTTATTATCCTAATATAGTAGGTCGGCTGGCTTACATGTGCAGCACTGGCTAAAAGGAAATAAGAAAAAAATAATTATTGCTCCTTCTCCCAAAACAATACTAATAGTCTCTCAATAGTGCATTTATAGAAGTGATGAACATCAATCTTTTAAGATCATGCATTAAAGACAAGAAGACTCATCTTACCATATTATAGATAAGAGGAAAGAAAGTATAATTGGTCAATGAAGTTAAGTTTCAGTCCTGCCTCTGGTAACCAGGTTTACTGACTCTTAGTTGAATTTTGATTCTAGATTGCCATTGTGGTTGCCTTTCTTAACGTGTGAAGTAAAGTAGTGTTCACATTAGTTTATTTGTCAAGTAATTACAATATTTTCCTTTATGGAAAAGCTTATAAACAACAATGGAAATATTTCTTTTTGGACCAACTAATAAATCTGCATAGCTTAGTCAGCACTCACACCTAAGTTGACTTACAACTAAGGAAATACATATAAAAAGACAACAACCAAGCACCATAAGCTTTTCTTTTCCTTCTTTGGGAACTGTTCACTTGTTGGAAATAGTTAACTTTAGTTAAAAAACTGATTCTGTGTGGCATTAAGAGTAATAAACATGTATTTTGTTTGAAACCAGGCAGACTGTTTGATTCATTGAATCAGAGTTTGAAATACATGTCTATTGTATTAGGGTAAAATAGACTATTTCACAACTTTTAGCCAAATTCTGCTTAGTTTAATATATACACATCATGCTTTATGTTTCACAGTTTGTATTCAAATAAGGTTGAGATTTAATTTGGATTAAAAATTTCATAAATTTATCAATATTAAATAGATTGTTTCCATTTTATATTTTAAATCCTTAATTGCTTTTAGTATTCCTATGTGTTAAGAGAAAGTTAAAGTGTACTCTCATAATATTTCTGGGATCATTTTTATATTGAAACAATGAAAGTTTCTTCAGTTAAAGAACATGGTAATCATACTTAGGATAAAATGTATGAAAAGATACACATATATTTATGAATAAGAAAAACATCATTGCAAGTACTTCACATCATGGCACAGGGAAATGCACAAGAAATAAAAATATATGATTTAAATCACATGTGTAAAACAAAGCAAGCAAAACTAAAACTAATTCAGATTCTAAGTACAGGATGGTGGTTGTAAGAAGGGAAGAGAGTTGGGGAGAAAGAGGGGTCAATTTTAAGATGATGGGTAAAAACTAGACTTGGTTGTGCTCATAATGTAATACATACAAATGCTGAAGTTCTAAACTATATATCTGATGTAATGTTAAAAGCCAATGTTACCTCAATTATTCATATATATAATTTCTTAAAGAACAACCTGACATAAACGCATCAAAATTTTATTCTGATTTTGTGTTTGTTATTCACAACCAGTCTTCTTGACAGTCTTCTTGACAGTCCCGTTAATTTCTCATAAATTACACACGATAGGTTTAATTATCATTGCCTACATTGCAAACATTCCCAAGAAATGTTTGACTACCATTTAAATTGATAGTTTCAGCTTCATATCTCAGTTTCTTTTCTTATGGCTAGGAGTATAACTACTGGGTCTGTAGGTATGATTTAAACTTTAAGAGATCAATGTACAAATGTCTTATTTTGCATACCCCCAAAAAATGATACAATTCAATATATATAGGCATACAAAATAATGTGTGCATTGAACTTAATGGTATTTGCGGTTGAGCGCTGGGCTGTGAAGCTGCCTGCAGTCTCTGCAGTGCCAGTTCGATCCCCGGCCACCTGCGAAGGGCCCACGTGGCGCACAGACCCTGCCACACGCTGCTCCCCTCAGCAGTGTACTTCGGTACTTCTGTTTGTTGTGCTCCCCGCTGTGGCTCTGATGAATTTTTTCACCCTCCCACGCTTCTGACTATACCCAGTGCTTGTATAAATAAATAAATAAATCTTTAAAAAAAAGAACTTAATGGTTTTTAAATGAAACTATTGAACTAATTGTTTTCTAAGTGTCTGAGCCTGCGGACTGGTCAACGAGGTTCTGGAGGGGAGAGCAGCGACCTGAAGAACAGGGGTACACCGGAGGGAGACACGTGCACTCTTCGTTCGGCTATCGCAGGTCTCGTTTACTTTTGGTTTCGGTGGGGCTTTATAGCTGGGGACCAGAAGCGGAAGAAGCAGGCCAAAGCCGTCATGCGCACTGGGCCAAAAGAGGCTAATCCCGGAAGGGCACATGCCCTTATTTGGTGTGCCGGAGGTCGTCATGTGCACTGGGCCAAAAAAAGCACAGCCAATCACGGAAAGGGGGAGTATCCTGATGCTACGAGGTAAGGCGCCAACATCTAAGTAGCAAATGAATATAGACTTGTTTCATTGAACTTTGTTTCCTTCAGAGTTGCAAAATATCCAGTAGCACATATAAATATTAGCAATATATTGGTTGTTCTGCACCTTTGCAATACAGAGAACTTTATCTCTGAAAGTTTTTAGTTCGTTAGCAACATCCACTGCTATTGCATATGTACCTTAAATGTACAGTGTTTCCTCAACATATTAAACTAAGTTGCCAACAGCATACACTTCCAACTCCCACTATTTATAATACTAAATATAAATGTCAGGTGAAATTAAAAAAAAAATGTAACAAACATTAAAAAAAACAAGAAAAATTAAACTGCCAAATAACAAAAATAAGGTAATATAAGGTAGAGCAGATGCCATTCATCAGGCGCCCTGAATGAAGGTTATCAAGTGCATATCTAGTTTTGGGGACCAAGTCTTTAATATAGACAGTACAAAAGTGAAGAATCTTGGACAAATTATTACTATAACTGAGCTTTTATGCAAAATTCAGGTCCCTGTGAAACAGCCCAGTAAATGAAGAGGGTGGGGAGGAGGATAAAAACCATGGAACTATATCATGAGTTGAAGTCATCCAAATCCACGCTCCTCACAAAATGTAGGAATGCAACCAAAAAAAGGTAATTGAAATTGGATTAACAATAAATGTTAACTATAATTATATTACTATTTAAAAGACTTCACTATGGTCCCATAAGAATCAAATACTCCAAGACCCTGGGAATGTCTTCCTCTTGCTAACAGACACACTTAAAACCCATCTGGGAAAAAGACTATAGCAAAAATTTATATACTGCTTGAGGAAACATAACTTGATTTTTCTTTTTTTTTTTAAATAATAAATTTTATTTTTATATTCCCCATACAATTGCAACCCCCCGATTCTGACCCAAACCCTCCCCTCCCGCCCCTCACCCCCCAAAAAGTGGCTCTGTTTCATAGTTTTTTGTTGATTTTGATTTTCGCTTTCTTATAGTTACTCATTTTTCTGGTCCCTTATTTAAGTTTTCTAGATTCCTGCTATGAGTGAGACCATCCGGTATTTTTCTTTTTCTTTTTGGCTTATTTCACTGAGCATGATCCCTTCCAGCGCCATCCATGTTGCTGCAAATTGCATGTGTTTATCTTTTTTGAATGCTGAGTAATATTCCATGGTATATATGTACCACATCTTCTTGATCCAGTCATCTATTTTTGGGCATTTGGGCTGTTTCCAAAGCTTAGCTATTGTAAACAATGCTGCTAAGGTGTGCAGGTGCTCTTTGGAATTGATGTTTCTGTGTCATTTGGGTAAATACCTAAGAGTGGAATTGCTGGATCATATGGAAGCTCTGTGTTTAGTAGGTCAAGAAATCTCCACACAGCTCTCCATAGTGGTTGGACCAGTTTGCACTCCCACCAACAGTGCAGGAGAGTTCCTTTTTCTCCACACCCTCGCCAACATTTGTTGTTGCTAGTTTTTTTTAATATATGCCATTCTCACTGGTGTAAGATGGTATCTCATGGTAGTTTTGATTTGCATTTCCCTGATTACAAGTGATGTTGAACATTTTTTCATATGCCTGTTGGCCATTTGCATTTCCTCTTCAGAGAAGTTTCTTTTTAGCTCTTCTGCCCATTTTTTGACTGGGTTATTTTCTTTGTTGTTGTTGAGTCTCATCAGCTCTTTGCAGATTTTTGTGATCAGTCCTTTATCATTAGTGTTGGGTGCAAAAATGTTCTTCCAGTCAGTGGGGTTTCTCTTTGTTTTGGTTATTGTCTCTTTTGCTGTGCAGAAGCTCTTTAATTTGATGTAGTCCCAGCTGTTTATCTTTGCCTTCACTATCACTGCTTTGGGTGATGTGTCTGTAAAGATGTCTTTGATGTGCAAATCACGTAATGTTTCGCCTATATTTCCTTCTATATATTTTATGGTTTCAGGTCTTATGTCTAGTTCTTTAATCCATTTTGAGTTGATTTTTGTGTATGGTGTGAGGTAGTGGTCAAGCTTCATTCTTTTGCATGTAGCAACCCAGTTTTCCCAGCACCATTTATTGAACAAACTTTCTTTGCTCCAATGCATAGTCTTTGCTCCTTTGTCAAAGATTAGTTGACCATAAATCTGTGGGTTTATTTCTGGATTTTCTATTCAATTCCATTGGTCTGTGTGTCTGTTCTTGTTCCAATACCATGCAGTTTTTATGATTATGGCTTTGTAGTAGAGTTTGAAGTCTGGGAGTGTGATGCCTCCATTCCCTTCTTTTTTTTTTTTCAGGAGAACTTTGGCTATTCAGGGTTTTTTGTGATTCCATATGAATTTCATCAATAATTGTTCTATTTCTTTGAAGAATGACATTGAAATTTTGATTGGAATAGCACGGAATCTGTAGATTGCTTTTGGAAGGATGGCCATTTTAATAATGTTTATTCTTCCAATCCATGAGCAGGGGATGTCTTTCCATTTCTTTGTGTCTTCTTCTATTTCTTTTAACAGTATTTTATAGTTTTCTTTGTATAGGTCCTTTACCTCTTTTGTTAGATTTATTCCCAAATATTTGATTTTTTTTTTGTTTCAATAATAAAAGGGATTTTTTTTTGATTTCTTCTTCTTCAGATTTATTGTTTGTGTATAGGAAGGCTACTGACTTTTGCGTGTTGATTTTGTATCCTGCCACTTTACTGAACTGATTGATGAGTTGAATTAGTTTTTCTGTGGAGTTTTTGGGGTTCTCTATGTATATTATCATATCATCTGCAAATAGTGATAGTTTGACTTCTTCTTTTCCTATTTGGATTCCTTGGATGTCTTTCTCTTGTCTTATTGCTCTGGCTAGGACTTCCAGTATTATATTGAAGAGCAGTGGTGAGAGTGGACATCCTTGTCTTGTTCCAGATCTTAATGGAATTGCTTTCAGCTTTTCACCATTGAGAATGATACTGGCTGTTGGCTTGTCATAGATGGCCTTTATGATGTTGAGGTATTTTCCTTGTATCCCAAGAATTTCAAGGGCTTTTATCATGAATGGGGGTTGCACTTTATCGAAAGCTTTCTCAGCATCTATTGATATTATCATATGGTTTTTATATTTCTTTTTGTTGATGTGTTGGATAACGTTGATTGATTTTCGGATGTTGAACCATCCTTGTGTCCCTGGAATGAATCCTACTTGGTCGTGGTGAATTATCTTATGGACACATTTTTGGATTCTGATAGCTAAAATTTTATTGAGGATTTTTGCATCAGTGTTCATTAGGGAGATTAGCTTGTAGTTTTCCTTTTTTGTGTTGCCCTTGTTTGGTTTTGGTATTAGTGTAATGTTGGCTTCATAGAACGTGTTTGTTATTGTCCCTTCCTTCTCAATTTTTTGAAAGAGTTTGTGAAGGATAGACACTAATTTGTCTCTGAATGTTTGGTAGAATTCATTTGTAAATCCATCAGGTCCTGGGCTTTTGTTTTTGGGGAGGTTTTTGATTACCATTTCAATTTCGCTGCTTGTAATTGGTCTGTTTAGGTGTTCTATTTCTTCTTTATCTAGCTTTGGGTGATTGTAGAGTTGTAGGAATTTGTCCATCTCCTCTAGATTGTTGAACTTGTTTCCATATAACTGTTCATAGTAGTTACCGATTATTCTTTTGATTTCTGCTGTGTCTGTTGTGATTTCTCCTCTTTCATTTGTGATCCTGTTTATTTGTGCTTTCTCCCTTTTTTCCTTTGTGAGCCTGGCTAGGGGTTTGTCTATTTTATTGACTTTTTCAAAGAACCAGCTCTTGGTTTCATTGATCTTTTGGATTGTTTTTTTAGTTTCAATTTCATTTATTTCTGCTTTGGTTTTTATTATTTCTTTTCTTCTACTGGTTTTGGTTTTTTTTTTGTTGTTCTTTTTCTAGATCTTTGAGCTTCGAGATTAGGTTGTTTCTTTGAGTTCTTGTTTCTTGATGTGAGCTTCTATTGCTATATATTTTTCTCTTATTACTGCTTTTGCTGCATCCCTTACATTTAGGATATTGGTGTCCTCCTTGTCATTCAATTCAAAGAATTTTTTAATTTCTTCTTTGATCTCCTCATTAGTCCAGTGGTCTTCCAGTAGTGTGGTTTTTAATCTCCAAGAGGTAGGAAAGTTCCTTGCCTTCTTTTTATGTTTATTTCTAGTTTGATGCCTTCATGGTCAGAAAAGATGGTTGATATGATTTCAATCTTGGTGTATCTGTTGATGTTTGTCTTGTGCCCCAGTATGTGATCGATCCTGGAGAATGATCCATGTGCGCTTGAGAAAAATGTGTACTCCTTTTTTGGGGTTTAGTGTTCTATAGATGTCTGTTAAGCCCAAATGCTCTAGGTCCTTATTTAGAGCTTTAGTTTCTTATTTTTTGTCTTGTTGATCTATCCATTGTTGATAGTGGTGTGTTGAATTCTCCCACTACATATGTGTTTTCTCTGATGTCTGTTTTCAGAGAGGACAACAGTTGTCTGATATATTTTGGTGCTCCTTCGTTTGGTGAGTATATGTTAATGAGTGTTATTTCTTCTTGAAATATTGTCCCCTTGATCATGATGTAGTGACCATTGGGGTCTCTTTTTATTTTTTTGAGTTTGAAGTCTGTTTTATCTGATATAAGTATAGCTGTTCCTGCTTTCTTTTTTGGTCCATTTGCTTGTAGGATTGTTTTCCATCCTTTAACTTTGAGCCTATTTTTATCTTTTGTAGCTAAATGTGTTTCCTGGAGACAGCAAAAGGTTGGGTT